ACATAGTTACCCAAACAAGAACCATTTTANTTCCGTGGCCTGTAACAGTGTCCCTATCGTCGTTATCATGAAACTGCCTTGACAGACTCCAAACAATGGGATCGACGAGCTAAGAACAGGCTTTGAACAGGCCATGGGTACATGTTATGCTGGATATGTTTTCACGAGTGACTACTGTTGATCTTCCTTATGATCTAGTGTTTTGTGTTAACGTGTCTGTTGTACAACTTGGTCTTTCATATGTTGAAGCATTATTCGCAGAATAAGATTGTTGCGTTTAATTTCTCATTTCTGACCAACAATCCTTTAGTCTAGAACAGTGAGATGTGGATATTTTTGTACGAATTGGTCATGTAATGTCTATATGTATGCTCTTATGGCTGTTTGGAGTTTTGTAATGTTATTTCTTCTGTCCACCCGATGCGTTGGCGTTTCCGATCTTGGTGATCAGTGGCTGAAGTTGGTAATCAGTTGCTGTCACTTAGCACGTTGGCTGAGTTGGTGTTTGTTGTCTATAGTGTATGACAGAGATGGTTGATGTGTTTCTGATCCAGTAGCCTACATTTGGGCCAGTGCTGTGACGAACTGATGGACCAAATGACTGGAAATTTTCGAACATGACTCTCATCTTAATCTACGAACGTGGATTTTCTTAACCTGGCGATGTCCGAACCCTTATTATTATGCCTAATATTAGTTTTAAGTGTATTCTAATTAATTTTTTTTATTTCTGCAGAAAACGATGTTTCGTATACAGCACAAACCTCTCATCGTATGTTTAGTCGTATTTTGCTTGATGCTACATTCGTTTAAATTCGCTAAAAGTGAACTTATGAGTGCTTTAGGCTGTTACGGACAAAGAGATCGTGCTACATTTTATTGGCTTATTAATCTATGTTACGATTGTTATCGACTGTACTTGGCTATCGATATAGAAATTGGTTGCAGGTAAATATAATAAACTGTAATTAAAATAGATATAAAATTGTAAATGACTTAAAATCATATTCTAAATGATATAAACATTAAGATATTCGACACATTTGCTAAATAAATTCATAAAATTAAATGTAACATAAGAGTGTGTTAACTAAAAATTCGGAATATAAAAATGATTTTATTCTGCAAGCTGTGCTGTTACAAAATGAACAATGCACGTAAAATAAATTAAAGAAGATATGTTTGATTTAATCTTCCAGTTTAGCAAAATCGAATCTGCTCCCTTTCGAACGTTCGTTTTTACATGTTTCAAAAAGGTCTGAAATTGTTAGTCGTAAATTAGTGCAGGTTGTCTGATGTAAGGTGCCAACATCGTTCGAATCATTTTGATCGTGGTACATTAGATATATTGCTTTCATTAGGAAATCTCCGTAGTTTCCATATCCCATGTTAGTCAAAGGCAGCAATTGAGTGTTGAGTGTAGTGTGACGTTGTCTGTAAGCAGTTCAACGGATGCAGCCTACCGCTCTAGAGATCTGGGTCCGTATTCTGGTCACTTATCTCTCGTTTCTCACGAATGACATCAAAATGAGAAACGAAATTCGTCTCTCATTTTGGGTCCATCCTTCATCACCCGGCCAACTCATCGTGGTCCACGATTTAACCCAAAATGAGTTTGGGTCCCGTCTCAGTGTCCACAGAGCAAAAAGAGTTTTGAAAGAAACCAGTTCAGCAATGTAACAAACATTTAGGGGAACATGAGGCGGAATGGGGTAGCTAACGAAGAAGTTAAAATTATGTCAACAGTAAAAGAAAACTAACAAAAATATTACATTATATCCTTTATTTATTATATTTGGCACATAATTATTTAAATTAGAATTTTAAAAATCAATAATTTTGTATGAAAAATAAATCATTAAAAAAAAGCTTGCCCACATCCCGTTCCGCCCCGCACTCGGGGCAGAATGGGAAATGAGATTAGTGCTCAAATATTAGTAAAAATAGCCTTGTTGCTTACAAAACTCACAAACCAGCACGGAATCGTCATCGTCGCTGTCAAAACCCGCACAAGACATATAAGCCCATTTTTTGCATGCGACACATAAACATTAACCCTCAATCGACTGTGAGTTAGCCTCGGTGCAGTAAAGGCAAGTCGTATCATCTTTTCCTCCCGAGTAATCGTCCCCTTGTTCTTCTTTTTTACTAGACTTTGTTGTTTTTTCTTTTCCTTTACCTTTTTCTTCCCCGTCCCATTGTGCCCCACCCGTTGTGTCCCAAAGCACATGCTTCTAAAAATCAAGTAGAGAAAAAAGTTTATGATTACTTTTTGCGTTATTTCATTCTAAAAATACAACAAACAAATCTTTAATAAACTAGACTATATAAATTTTGTTAAATTATAAAACATACCATATACTTTCATTGTTTTAATGTTGATACACTTGTAATTTCATCAAAAAAATTACGAAGCAAGGTTTTATTGGTCAACGACAAAGTGAATCACGATAACCAAGTATTCACACTGACGTATTGTCGCAGTCTGAGTGTAGGACAGGGAGCGAATCAATTCCCTCACCTCTCATATTTCATATGTAAATCGTCTTTCCCATTCCTCTCTGGGTTCCCCTAATACTGTATTTAGATAAACAAACAATTTACAATAAATGGGTTTAAGTAACTGGTTAGTCTATAATGTCTCTGAAAACGGGCATCAATTCAAGGCCAGAACGCCTCTTTTACTTCTGCACTCCTTCGTTTCGATTTCTTCTCTTCTTAATTTCTTTTCTGTTCTTCGTTTTCCTTGCTTTTCCTTTTATTGTTTTCTTTGACCCAACTGTTCTTTGCCTTTTATCTTCTTCTGATCATCTGGTGTCTGCTGATTGTTTCTGCTTCGCTTTCCATCCATTGATTTGCTGGTAATGGGTTTCAGGTTGCAAGCTGAAGATAATAAAGAAAAGAAAACAGCAAAATCGAAACAATTAATTAATTTTTGTACCACGTGTATTAAATTTTTATATTTATTTCCGGTTAAAATTTTTCGAAATTACTCTAATTAATGGTAGAATAATCAAAACAGTAAGAAATATTTTAAATAATAAAATACAGCGTAAAAATTTGTAAAATCATAAAGTATTTTAAAGTTAAAAACGAAATAATTGAAAATTTTGTTCTTTTAATTTTCAGAGAAAACTGTTTTACAACCGATTATTTCGAAAAGTGCATGATTGCTCTACAGTTAACAGAGAGTGAAAAAGAAGCAAATAGAAATAGAGTAAAGCTTATATCTAGTTAATTTTCCATTGTCAATTAAAGGAATACTTGTAACCTATTCTTTAACTTGTATTTTTGATGCCATACAATTGTTATTAAACATATAAAAAATTGTCTTGACGAATTGTGTATACTTTCTATTGTAATTGGATATTTTAAAATTTCAAACGAAAATTTTTAAACACTACGAATACTACAAAATTTAAAAATTAATAAGAATGCAAAAAATAAAAAAATCCAGCAAACAATTACGTAAATTTCTCGGAAAAAAACATTTAAAATTGGGTAGCAGTGCCATCTCTTATTGTATTTTATTATAAAAACGTTTAATATTATTAAATATTATAAAATGACAAAAAGCTTCATTTTGAAGATAGAGATAAGTTTTCAAAATTTAAATGCTAATAATGAATAAAATCTTCATGAAGTCCGACTCTACAGGAGATGCTACACGCGACTCCACTCTATCTCACCATCCATTCGATCTTTAACCATCAAAATTTAATAGCATTAATCCACCTAATACCCAAAACTCCCCGCATAAATTCAGAAATTTTCGACAAAAGACACATGAGTTATTAAGCTTCAAGTTGAATGAAAAAAACCTTTTTCTGTATATCCACAAACATCCATACATGCAGAAAAATTCCCTGAAATTTTTTGTATTTCTCGATGTTTTAAGGTGTGCTTACTTCAAAAATTTAAAGATTGTTTTGAGGGGTTTTTTTTGTTTTACTTTCTCTCTGTTATATATAACATCCAGAAAAATAATGACCACTTCCATTATACAGTATTACGTATTATGTACACAAAACTGTCTTTATTTAGTTTAAATTACCTTAAATATTTCTTTCAGTTTGTTTTTAAAATGATTGTTTTTATATACTATTTTATTGTTAATTTTAATTTATATAATTATTGAATTTATAATAAATATTATCGTAGGCTGTATTTATTTTATTTTTATACTTATTTATTACTAATAATCTATACTAGTCACTATTTTTTTTATTAATTCCTTTACACATTTATAACACGCATAATTTATAATATTATCATGATAGATTTGTAAATACTGTATACAATGATACAGACATAATATAGGCTATTAAAAGCAAACAAAAGATACATCATTTCTTAGGCAATTCTATGATATTGATACTTTATATTATATGAAGAAATCATAAGAAATATCAGTAATAAGACAATTAGTAAATATTGCTTGTACACAGTGGAATTCGATTGAATGATCCACAGATTTTCTAGTATAAAACTTCATTTAGAAGTGATCCATTTATAAAAATCATTAGCAAACTGCACTTTATATTTTTCTTTTCCTTTGACGTTTTCTTTAACTCTGCTACACATTGTGGCGAGACAATTCTGTAAATTATAATTAAAAACAACATAATAAAAATTAACAACAAATTATAAGTTTTGTATTTATATAATACTATAAACATTTATTTTAAAAATAAATATATAACATTACACACATGTGTAACAAACACATTAAATATTTTATAAAATATAGTTCAATTCATACATACAATTACATGTTTCGTCCAGGTTTTGCAATTTTCAGGAGACTGAAAATTTTATTTCATGTAATTAAATTGTTAAATTTTTAATTAAAAAAATTAACAAAAGTTTTAGATTGAACCAAAATAAAAATATTAGTTTATATAAACAAAAGGTATATTAAATAAAATGTTAATAATAAAACAATACCTCAAACATTATATTCGAACATTTGTTATCAATCTATAAAAAATTCAAGTTAATCATAACATTGACATCTTGGTAAATATTAAAAAGATATTAAATTATTCACTAGATTAATTAATTAATATTTAAAATTTATACAATAAAATGTTAATTTACTTACTTTCTTATAGGAAAATGAATAAAAATAACTTACCCAGAATTCGCTTATATTCATGTTATATTTTAAACAAGGTTCTACGTTCTAGTTATATTGAAAAAAGTCATAAATAGAATTTATATAAATATATATATGTATAGTACAATATATATAATTATAATAAATTTCAAATTAGAAAAAATATTTAAGTTTTTAAAATGTTTATTACCTTTCCAAATACCATATGCAATTCTTCAGATACTTTCTAAAAAATTTATAAAATTAATTTTGAATTTAATATTCTTAAATCATTTATAATAAGAAAAGAATTATAATATTTGTAAATACTACGTTATCTGTCGATTGTAACGTCTTAATTAGGTCATAAAATTTTTGGTATAGGCCTATATATTACATTACGTTCGATTTTTTAGTAAATTACTTTAAATTCGAAGTAATAACATTAACTATTGTACATGAAACTTTAAATGCATAGTGCCTGATTAACCCAAAACACAGAAAAGAGTTTCTAAACTATCTGAAACACTTCTGGTCCCATCAAATTTGGGTAATCCAGTTTCTAATGTATTTCTATAAATATGGAAGAAATAGTATCAATTATTATTAACTAAATATATATGAAATAACGCTAAAAATTCGTCATAATTTTCTTTACAAATAATTTATAATATTCAAGCTTTATATCGTAATTATAATTAATTAATTAATAATAAAAGTAGTAAATATGTGCGCTTACTTCATGGAAAGAAGTCTCAATTTCATTGTTTTCTTTCACGGCTTTCTCGCAACAATTTTCCACTTCGTTAGAGAACTATTCAATGTATAATTTTTGTTTATTAACTTAATATAATTTATATAATTCTACATTATTCTATAAAATATATATTTAGCTGTTTATATGTTATTATTACAGTATTATTATTAATGAAGTAAATATACTTACAATAAATTTTTCGAAAAGTGCTTCACGTATACAATTTAAACCTTTCTCAGTTTCATCTTTCTCTTATTAAAATAATTAAATTTAATTATGTAATTGTTGAAAAATAATCATAATAGAAAATACTTAAAGCATCCTAATTTATGAATTTCTATATTAAAATTTTATGTGTTTTATAATTGCGTAACATAAATTTAACAATAGAAATATAATTAACATTAATTAATTTTTATATAAATAATATTAAATTTTTAAAATTTATTTTAAATATTAAAACAATTAATTAATTTTTCTTAATTTTTATAAATAAAAACTTAAAAGTATATTACGAATTTCTTCGCTACAAATTATTATGAATGTATTAAGAAGCGAGAACACTCTCCACAAATTATTCCTTTTCATTTTTCAGTGAATACTATACTCTAAAAGGTGAATTTATACCGAAAACTTAAAGATCTACGTCATCTATTTAAACAGATTCCTTTTGTACTGTGGTATGTCACGAATTTGTAAGCGAACGAAGCTCTACAATTTTTGCACGTGGTACAAAATTTCTGGTTTTCTACATAGATGCCATTCTTTTCTATTATTATTACATAATTATTATAATAGATAATGGATAGGAATATAGTATAAATCGTATAATTATAAAATATACAGTACTGTAGACTTCTTGACACTATAGAATTTAATAATTATGTCGAAAAACTGTATAATTTTTATACAGTCTTATTTTTAACTCAAAAATTTTAATTAAAAAAAATATATTTTTTTAATTATTTAAAGAAATTTTCAACATAAAGATTGTAAAATTTTTTAGTTTAATCTATTTTATAGTTTTAAATAGCATAATCGAAAGAATAGTTTAATTATGCAGCTGAGTTTGTGTAAACTTTTAATACAACGTTTTAAACCTTCCGGTTGATATAATGAAACAGCTGCTTTTCTATTACTTTTTTTAACAGAAAATTTCTTAAATTTATGTAGTTTATTATATGTTTTAAAAAATTGAAAGGATAAAGAAGATAAAGGAGGTCGTGTGTATCTCCAGTAGGTCGGACATAATGATGATTTTATTCGTTATTAGACACAATTTTTTATAAAACCCATCTCTACTCTTAAAATTAAGTTTTTTTTGCCATTTTATAATAGTCATACATAATGAAAAATAAAACTTTATGTAGAATATATAATAGAAAAACGTATGAAATAACTAAAGTAAAATAAATGCCATCCTCCTTCCTTCAGCTCAATAACGCAGCCTTTGTCAAATTACGTCAGTTGTTCATATTAACTTTGATCACGTCGAATAGCCAAGCCTGGCGTTCAAATACTCTGAACACAATAAGCCTCTGCCAGTTTCTTTTTTTTTATAAGATACTAGAGTATAAATCCTGTCTTGTCGCATTATCTGGCGTACAAATCGGCTTACAAATTAAAAGCTCTACGGGTATCCCCCATATAACACTGTACAGTTGACCCCCCATAACACTGTCGATAATTCCGTGTTATATGATTTCCATGTTGTACGAGTCACTTATATTTTACAAATACGTGATCCGTCCACAGCCCGGCACACGTATTTGTAAAATCTAAGTAACTCATACAACATGGAATTCATATAACACGGAATTATCGACAGTGTTATAGGGGATCAACTGTAGTTAGGTTCCGAAAAAGTGTCGTGTTATGCGAATTCGTGCTATACGAAACAAAATATTAATACAAAACATGACGTTAGGTTCCAAAAGTTAAAAAAGTATAATATTCTTTTTCGTGTTTGTTCAGTCGAGTACCCAGCGATTTTTTTTTTCAGAATTTGTGTTCGAATACAGAATTGTTCGAAAATATTTCATAAATTCTCGAACCATGTTAGACCGAAACCGTGTTTTACAGGAGATTTCCTCAATTTTCGAACCGTGTTACAGCGAAACCGTGTTGTAGAAATGCCGTGTTGTACTGTACGAGGAATACCTATACGTGAAACTTATGGTATAGTACTGTACATCCTATAATAAGAAACCGAAGTGCTGAATCTCTAGCGTGTATCACTCCACCACCATAGCTAAACAACGAGATAAGAAATAAAATAGAATAGAATAAGAACTTCGAAAATTGCAGGCAATATATGACGTTATGTAAGATTTTTTATTTNACGAGTAATGTTCTGGGACAACAGTCTGAAATTAGACATTCCTTCGACTACTTCTATGGAGTTCTATCTTCTTCCAATCGCAGTACGTCACTCGTACCTTAGCATTTTGTTTTTGAGGAGTAACTTCCTTCTTTCTGTCTGTATCCTCAGTGAACTTAGTATCCGATGTCCAAGTGTAGTTAGTATATTGTATCCCTTGCCTAATTATGTTCCCAATTCAAATAAGAAAATCCGGATGTCAGTAAGAATTTGGTTCCTTGGGAAGCTTATTTTACGTCTACCTAACTCTAATGTAAGTGGCCATTTTTTTAAATTTGTTTACTTGTTTATCGCTTTTCACAACCGAAGATAGTTTTTATATTTTTTCCCAACGCTTAATAAAGATTAAAGGATGTGATTGGATTCACTTCCTTTCAAAGGTGACACATTTTCTGAATGTGTCACCAGGAACCTAACGACCAAAATGTCTATTAGACGTAGAACTTAACACCCAAAGATGGGCATGAGAAGAAAATGGGAGGAAGACAAATAAAACAGAAAAATCGATGAAGACAAGGCAGTTCGTCATCTTCAGAGTTTATCACTCTTCTTTTTCTTCTTTTCTCTCCCGGAACTCGGATACATCACCCATCCTGCTGATCACCGCCTAGATCGACCGCCTTGGACCAAACAGCCAGCTATCTGAACTTTCATCCTACCAATCTATTATCAAGTGATTCACATCGATCCTCTTGACGTCCGAGATATCTAACGCTCTACGGACCAGAAGTCCTCCGAACTACCTATTCGCCGGATATCCTCGACGTCGACCTCTCCAACTAGCAAGGAACCGACCTCCTCGGCTACTTAACGGCCATCACGATTTCTGTGTCTCTTAAGGCAGAGTGGTATCAGTCCTGACGTCGTAGTTATTGTGACGTCCTGCTGTCACAATAACAATATAAATAAACTGCAGGAAAGAAGCACGTGTTCAGTAACAATCTCATAGGTTTCCAGATAGATTTTATAAAAAGTAAAGCAGGATTCCTCAAAATGTAGCCCAAATTTTTTTGAAGGTTCTAAAAGCAATAATTTGCCCAAATGTAGCAGCCTAGAGCGCTACAAATCTCAATCTGCTAATTATAGCCCAATCTTGCAATTCCGAACACCAGCCGTATTTTATGAGATAAAAGGAAAAAAGGGTAAGGTGACACCCGAAATGTGTTACTGTACAAGCAAAACCATATTGACCAGATTAGAGTAATTCTTGGTCCATTGTTCTCTTATAGCGTAGAGGCACTTCGATCTAAACCAGGGGTGTCCAACCTTTTTGTTTCTCTGGGCCGCCTTGGAAGAAGTCAAGGAGTTTTGGGCCACAAGTATATATATTTTATGTACAAAAAAATAGTTTAACGTATCCAATGTTAAAATTTTTATCCGTTGCGTGTCGCTTCGCGTTTAATTTTCGTCGATGTTAAGCCTAACAAAGACTATTGTGTCGTTAAAAATTAGTTTTTTATTTTGTACAAACAAAATAAATATATTGAAAAATATAAAAACAATAAAAAAATATACTTCAGATGTTAATTTAGTTTCAAAAACGTAAAATATTTGAATAGCCCAAGACATTGCCAAAGATTGAAGTGCCACAGCACTGGCGAAAATTTAAATTTGCCGACTGGAATTCTTTCAGACGATTGACGTTTCGGATGATTGGCTTTCGGAAAATCGACGCTCTACTGTAATTAGAAATAATGTGTAGCCGAAAAAGCAGTCAAAGCGCCAAATAATATTTTTTACGTCAAACCAAAAAAAGTAGCCACATTTGACCCAATGTAGCCAAATCTTGCAACGTTGGAAGACATACTAAATAAAGCTGGAGTTGTGAATCAAAGGATTATAGACCCAAGTGAGATATAAAGAAACAGAGGACAAAAGATAAAGTAGTATAAAAAGTTGAAAAATTACGGGTCCATATTTACTGAACAGAAGATCTATTTAACCTTTCTCACTATTACATCTTTTGTCCTTTCTCATCTTTCCCTCCTTTTCNCAAAGGATTATAGATCCAAGTGCGGGATAAAGAGACAGAGGACAAAAGATAAAGAAATATAAAAGGTTGAAAAATTACAGGTCCATATTTGCTTAACAGAAGATCTATTCAACGTTTCTCACTACCACATCATTTGTCCTTTCTCATCTTTCCCTCCTTTTTCCAAATTTGGGTCTATAATCCTTTGAGTCACAACGCCAGCTTTATTTAGTAATCCTTCCGCATTCACACATCTCCAAGTATTTGAAAATATTTTCTTTCCACTCAAACATAAAATATGAATAAAGGTTTACGGCTTTGTGAAACTTTTTTTGAGTTTATGCCGTTGAAATAAATAAATAATAAAAAATTAAAACATTTGTCGGTTTTGTTTACACGTTTATTGGGCCGCATTGGAACTTGCCTTGGGCCACATGCGGCCCGCGGGCCGCGGGTTGGACACCCCTGATCTAAACGAACGAGTTAACATAGAATATCACAGTTCGGATAGAATTTTCACTTCGAATTTCGAAGTAGCCGAATGCCTTAACATATAAATTTCTATATCCCTGCCGAGACAAAAGTACAGTTACGAACTAATGGGATTTCAAACTATCAGAGTTCGAATTAACGAGGATTTCCTGTATTTTCAAATTTTCTAATATAAGATATTGTTATATATAGGCCTATTGTATGTTATGTTCTTTTCCATATTGAACATAAAACTATTGACTATTTTCCTTCAATTACGTAGACTAATGAATATCGGCTCCACTCTTATATTACGAGTAATGTTCTGGGACAACAGTCTGAAATTAGACATTCCTTCGACTACTTCTATGGAGTTCTATCTTCTTCCAATCGCAGTACGTCACTCGTACCTTAGCATTTTGTTTTTGAGGAGTAACTTCCTTCTTTCTGTCTGTATCCTCAGTGAACTTAGTATCCGATGTCCAAGTGTAGTTAGTATATTGTATCCCTTGCCTAATTATGTTCCCAATTCAAATAAGAAAATCCGGATGTCAGTAAGAATTTGGTTCCTTGGGAAGCTTATTTTACGTCTACCTAACTCTAATGTAAGTGGCCATTTTTTTTAAATTTGTTTACTTGTTTATCGCTTTTCACAACCGAAGATAGTTTATAAATAGATCATACCTGAGTTAAATATAAGGCAATAAAACTAAGAAAATTATGAAAAGCAGAATATAATTGGGCTGAAATTTGAAAAATATGTTGACCTATACGTCAGTTTGTCTGGCCTTCCTTAATCTCGAAAATGGTGTTAGATAGGTGAAAGTCGAGACTAGATATGGAAACATTAGAGACAGGAGGCCCCGATTAACTATATATGAACTTTCGATCTAAACCGGAAATCACATGATTATGATAGGCAAAAAAATAACACGATTCGTCACAGAGAATTTTTTTATGACTTTAATAATTATAACATGGAATCATAAAATACATAATACGTTCAATATTCGATTATAGTTAATTAAATTTGCATTGATTCATTCAAGAATATAAATATTGTGCTTTCATTTTATATCTGGACTTTTCATTTTCAGAGAGCATTAGAGCTGTCATACAATCCTCGAAAGTACTAGTTGTAAAACAATTTTTTCTGTAAATAAAACCAAAAAGATAATGAAAAAATAAATGATTTCGTATTATAAACTTAATATAATCTATGATTTATAAATCATTAAATATTATAAAAATTCTGCTTTATAATAAATATTTGAGAAGCTACAAATATTATTTAATATAATGCTATAATAAATGAATTTAAATAAGAAAAAACATTTAAAATGCAAAATTTTGTAAACATATGATTAAATTAACTAACATAGATAAGAAGTAAATATAAGATAATAGAAGAATTAATTTTATAAGCAAATATGTTAAATGCCTTTTAAAGTATGTTTTTCTGTTAATTTTTTTTCAATTTTTAAAATAATTTTAATTACAATTTATTATATTTACCTGCAAGAACCTTCTACTTCCGGATAACTCAAGTACAGTCGTTGACAATCTTCACATATTTTAAGAAGTTCAAAAAATATGGAACGATTGTTCTGACCTAAACATCCCAGTGCACTTAAACGTTGACGTTTAGCGAATTTAAAAGAATGGACCATCAAGAAAGATGCCACTAAGCACACGACGAGAAATTTATGTTTTATTCGAAACATCATTTTTCTAGAGAGATAAATATAGTAATGAAAAGAAATTAATTAATTAATTATTATCAATTAAAACTATAGCTTATCAAGGTACTTTTTTTTTAAAGTAAGATTCGAATTCTGTTTTCAGGAAAAGTAATCTCATACTTACTTCGAAGAGTATTTGGATTTACTGAAATAATGTCTGGCAAAATTCACCATTTATACCTTTCTCGTGTAATTTTGATTAACTGTCTTGGGATTTACGCTTTGAACAATTTACTACTTTCATCAAATAAATCTTAACTTTTTTCCCCAAAAGGATAAAAATTATTTAAGTTTTTGATGTGGAAATATCAAATTGACGTTTTGTTCATTTCACCGCTAACTTGTTTAAAAAGATGAGGCAAATATTAATCATTTAACTGATATTTATTTAATTTTTTTTTTTTTTGCTCCTTTGGAAAAAGAACTACAGTATATTAAATAAAAATATAATATTTATATTATCGAGATTTTTTGTAAAGAAACAACAATAATATTTTTGTTACTTATAATTGGTTTTTGGATCTATTTATCATTAAAAAATTGTCATTAATTCTCAGAAATTCAAACGATTTCTTCAATATTAAGAAAATAATAAATGCATTTCAAGTGGAAATTAATGTAACTAAACTTAGAGATTTGATGAAATATAATTTATGTTTTTCATTAGAAAAAAATATAGATAAATATTAAGAATAAATTCTAAATGAGAATTATAATTAAAATATTATATTTTGAAATTTAAGATATGTAATTTTGAATAGTAAAATTAGATAAGACCACTAAAGACTTATTAGTAAAAGCAAGAAGGTAAAGAGAAACTGTTGTCTATAATAATTCAAGGTTCAAAACAAGAATTTGGGTGTGGAGATGAAAATAAAAAGAAAAGGTATGAAAGAATTTTTTGAGAAGAATCAATTGTCAATAATTGAAGCGGATAAAGCTAAACAGTTAGTTATTGAAGATAATCAAAGTCTTAGGAATAAGATAATAGAGCAGGTTAATAACCATAAATGTATATTGTAACTATGACGATTTTCATAAGAAATAATGCAACACACTAGAGCAACCTGGTTGCAGTGACCAAGTTACTAGTCTGTTTCTGGCTTTATTTAGAAACATTGCACTATTTCTAAGTAACGTTTAAATATCTTCATACGTAATATTTAATTTCCATCATTCTAAACACATTTAATTTCCGTGTTCAATACATGATTTGCATTACTATGTAGAGTATAGTTTAACAATATAGAAATTGCCGTACAATTTATATATCTAAACATGCAAATTAAATTTGTTTACATAAGTAAAGTATAACACAACTTTTAAATCATTCTATCCTTCTGTTTTTATTATTAAAAATCATTTTACAGTTTTAAATTTTAGAGAATTCTACTGTTGAAAAGGATCTATGCACAAAATATCAAAAAAATTTAATACTTTGAATTTTACATAATATATATTTATACATCAAAGAATGATTATGATTTTAAACTTCTTTCACATCTGAATATTTTTTGAACTTTGTTAAACAGTAAGCTTCACTGTCAATAAAAGAACTTGCAATTTTAAACTTTTCGCTGTTTTCCTGAACTTGCATGAGAATTTTTTCTAATCTTTTTAATTTTCTGGGAAATTTAACAATAAAATCTTTTGGTTGCATAGAATTTGATTTCTATTAGAAAATAAACAACAGCAGATTATAAAGAAATATTTGATAATGGTATTTGAAAAACTTAATTATCATTACTTAATATACTAAGCACATCCAATAATACAGTATTCCCGTTAAATGTCTTTAGTTTTGTGAATTAATTTTGGAAAAAGGAATGTGAGTATAGTACTGTACACAGTGGTAATAGAAGATGCATCAGAAAAAGTTAGTTACTACATTAAACCATTGCATTTCCACATATGTTCCTGACATATGTCTGGTCTATATTTGATTTTAGCCTATGTCCAAGTCACATGTTAGGAGTCTCACCAATGACATCCGCAATTCTTGTATACAGGACTCGAGTGTCTACACATGTCCACAAAGAAAAAGTTCAAAGATTGGGCAGACTAAGAAATGCATCCCGGTAATCTAACCTGTGTGGCAGCAACTGCCCTTTCAAGAGTGTATTGGCCAAAATTCTCCAAAGCATTTTATTGAAATGTTTGAAATGTTATTGTAAGATAGTACCAGACCAAATATCCAACTTCCAGATTTTTGAAATTACCAGAAAACTGGAAAGTTTTGAGTTTCACAGGATTTAGCATAGCTGTAGTTCGATGCACGGTCTGTTTGTTTTGGTTTCTGTGGTGTACGTGTCAAATTACACCGATTCCGGTACGATTGTTGTTGTGTGCAGTTGATCCTCTCACAGTTAAGTGTTTATCTGTTGAAATTTATTATAATTTTCACTTATAACCATGTCTAAAAGGCCAGATTAATAATGATCAAATATCAATAGAACCTGCTTTATAAGTATATTAAGTTATATCACTGAAATACAGCTTAGTTCTTTATTTTACATTGTTTATTTAATGTATATACAGTAGAATCTCGTTTCAATGGATCGCTTGCCCACCAAAAGTCATCTGTTGTTCCGAGATTCCATTATATCGAGAACAACGGATTTCCCGCACACCCAGGAAAATTTTCGTTATTTATCGTTGAAACACCCAAATATTAACTACATGTTAAAAAACATAAAGTTTACAGTACATGGGGTAGAAAATTCCATTATTCTGAGCTACGGATCGACTAAGAGGAGATGATATTAAATTGATTTGATGGAACCTGGAAAAAGAATGTTATTCTGAGAAATCCATTGTTCTGCAATCCGTTAAAATGAGATTCTACTGTATACTGAAGCTTATCAGATATTTGGCTTGTATTGTAAATTATTTTGATTTTTTTCTTTTGAGTCTGTTATTTTAAAACACAAGAAAAATGAATTACTGTAAGGTCTCGTTTTATGCGGTGGATACGTTCTACAGAAAAGCTCATATAAAAAATTCGCATAAAAAAAGACTTTACTTGCCTTGAAAAAGTAGGGATACGTTCCGTAATTTTCTAAAATCGCATAAAACCAAAACAACGAGTTAAAATTAACTTAAAACCGCATAAAAAAGTTTGCAGAAATTAAAAGAAATAGGCTGCTTAATAAATTACTTCGAATGTCTGAAAGAAATTCATATAAAAGCTTAAAATAAACTTGTATTCAAACTTAATTCAGTTTATTTTATTGAAAAGTAATACAAGGGGAATCCCCGAATTGCAAAAGCTCACTCTAAAAACAAATCACTGACATCTGGATGTGAAGAGTTAATTAAAACGCCTTTAGTTCCTCTCCCGAGTTAACTCGGGCAGGATACATAGCGTTACATGAAACACGGTCCTTAAGGCCGTGAAATTTGAAATTTTTTTTTGAATTTTTGGAATGTTTTTTAAGTCTCCAAATTTTTTTAAAATATTTAAAAATATACGGCCAGCTATTGTTCACTCTACTTTAAACCCTTGTCCTCCCGCGAAGTCTATGAGAATACCCCGGGAAATCCAACTCCAGCATGTTCAAGGTCATCCAGATGTGTAAACAATGACTAATCGGTGTTAAATTTCACAGAAGGGCGAGACAAAGGAAGTTAAACTTTGAAGCTTTTTCTTCAAAATTAACGCATTTCTTTCGTTTTTTTTCAGTTTTAAGTATTTTTTATGTTTAATTACATTTATATTAAAAATTGCTAAGAACTAAAGCGATTAAGGTAGATCTAGCTGTCCTTTACATCCATAAACGTTATATGTCAGTGGAACAAGTGGAGTGAGCTTTGAGCGTTCCACGATTTTTGGAGACTGTCTATACGCGGGCTTCCTAAACAAGCCTACATGTATGTTTGTCCAAAAAATTTTTGGATGAAATACAAACCGCACAACTTCAAAATCGCATAAAAATAATCCGCATAAAAAGAGACCTTACAGTATTATATTCAGTCATTTCATTTTTTAAATTCTAGTCTCAAAACTTTCAACGTGACATTTCTGATAAGTTTACTATTAAACGAGTGTGTAACGTTACAAATTTTAAATTACTATACAAAAATTAATAAAAATTACAATAGGCCTTTAATTTAATTAATTAATTGGGGGAAAGAGTGTCTGTTATTGTCAAAAATATTTTTAAAACATAATTTATAGTGTACAGGAGGCATTAAAATGACATAATATATAAATATGAATAAATTATTAAAATATACAGTACCGTACATTGAGTCACTAAAATATCTGTTAAATATATATCAAACCAAACTTTATTATAATTAAACACATCAAAAACCATATAATGTAACTAATGGAGTGTTTCCGCTAATAACGCAAACTCATAGACCCAACTTTTTAGAGTATTCTCTTTGTGAATAATAAAAGAACAGATTCTATGACTTTCAGAAGGCTTTTTATTAACAAAAGCCTATTGTATTTTATTTTATTTAATACATGCAATACTTTTTATGATAAATACTTTATGAATAGTATCAACTTACTTGAAATTTCTTACAAAATAATGGAGAATCATAAACTTTTGGAATGTTGGCTGGATATTCCGATTCGGGAACGTGACATTTACGTTGTCCCATTGCATTTCCACATATGTTCCTGACATATGTCTGGTCTATATTTGATTTTAGCCTATGTCCAAGTCACATGTTAGGAGTCTCACCAATGACATCCGCAATTCTTGTATACAGGACTCGAGTGTCTACACATGTCCACAAAGAAAAAGTTCAAAGATTGGGCAGACTAAGAAATGCATCCCGGTAATCTAACCTGTGTGGCAGCAACTGCCCTTTCAAGAGTGTATTGGCCAAAATTCTCCAAAGCATTTTATTGAAATGTTTGAAATGTTATTGTAAGATAGTACCAGACCAAATNAATAACAAATTCGAATTTAAAACGGTTCGAACATTTTAAAAATCGAAATAGATAAAAATATTTATAACAATGTCTGAAATGTTATCAATTTAATACATCTAAGTATTCAATGAAGACTAAACGTAGTTGAAAACGAAAAATCGCATCTAAAATAGTACAGTAGAAGCCGTTCTTCCGGTCAAGCCTTAATCCTCTCCCTCTCCCCCCGCGGTAGAATTTCGAAAAATCTCTTCTTAGTGCGCGTTTTCATAACGTACCCTAACTGTGTACCAAATTTCACCACTTTAGGTTCAGCGGTTTGCTCTGGGCGATGATGAATCAGTCATTCAGTCAGTCAGTCAGGACAAGCAATTTTATATATTTAGATAATCTCAGTAAGTTGTTTGTTTGTTAGTTCGACACATCCAATAATTTGGCACTAGTCGATGCTCGGACAATACTGGCACGCTTCAAGTCGTAGACAAGTCCCACTAGTTCACACTCCAGTTCCTTCTAAATTTGAACGAACAACTTCCCATTTAATGTGGCATTGATCCTGAGCATCAACACTCATGCTTAGACACAATACAGTATTAAAGATTGTTAGGCATGTCATTTTGTCAGGCTCAAAATAGGTACAGCATCTAATAACACAATACAGTATAAATATAAAACTCAGTTCCTAAAATTTCATACTAAAAATATTGTATTCTCCATGAAATTTTCTGCAAAAGAACAGCAGCATGCTCAGTTCTTTTGATCAGTAGTCCATTAACAGCTAAATCAATTTCCCAAAGATTGATGATTCAGGTTTATCATAATAGCTTCTATTTTTCTAGTTTTGATGATCTGTTTATATGGTTTATATCTAGTTAATAGGCTTTATTGTGCTTTGAATTACATTTTCTTTTGTTTCTTAATAATGAGTTACTTATCAAAAATTCAAATTTGATAATATAGAATTTCACAAGTACAAAGCCAAAACAAATATCATTATAATTGCTTAAATTAACATAAACTTGATGATTTGAAAAAGAGTAAAAAACCAACCTTTCGACCCACAACACGGATACGAGATGTATTCCTTTCGCCATCGCTATGTCTCTTGTGCTTTTTCTACCTTCCTTGAATATAACGTGGGTAGTCGATTTACGGATACGTGGAAATATTTGGGCACCCATTTGTCGGAGCCGATTCGCGATCGTTTCTGACCAATTTTCGCGACCGGATCTGACTTCCACGTAAGCTACGACTGCTGCAAAACAAAATTATTTACTAATCATTAATTTACTTATCTAATAAACATTAATCAAATATATAGATATTATCAATATTAAATAATCATTAAGTCAAGAGTTACTATAAATAGTTAATTGAAGATAAAGTTTGTAACTTTTTACGCTATTTTTTAAATAAAATATATTATTTTTATATATTTTCTATTTTATATTATCTTTTTTCATTTGATACTCGAGCATAAAATTTGGGCACTTTTTGAAGTTATGTGCTCCAGTAAAGAGAATACAGTAGAGCATCGATTATCCGACTCAATTGGGGACTCGGATTGGTCGGATAACTGAAAAAATCGGATAACCGAAAATAATGAAAAAAATACATTATTAGTATAGTATAATAGTTAGTATATTAGTACCTGTATATCGCTATTAATTAGTTAAATATAATTAGTATATTAGTATATCGTTAATCTACTTTGCGTTGAATTTTCATCGATGTTAAGCCTAACAAACTTTTTTTTAAAATAATAATCGTCGCTATTGTATCGTTAAAAATTATTTTAAAATTATTTTATTGCTCACGAAACAAACAACCACTCATAATTAGAAAATTAAATCTCGTTTAAATACTGGCCTCCCTTTCATGATCGAGTCGATGTTGCCAGCTAAAACATGCAAAAATTTAACAAAAATTATATTAAAGTAGCCAAGACATAGCCAAATATTGTAACGCCACATCACTAGCGGACATATGAAATTTGCCTACTAGAACGGTCGGTTAACCGAGGTGACGGTTAATCGGGGTCGGATAATCGATGCTCTATTGTATTTTTATTGTAAGAAAATGAAAGTTCTTATACGTCATTTTTGAATTGTCTGCATTTTTATTACCTGTTACAGTTGTTAATTATATATATAAAGATATTAATAATTAATTATAATATTTACAGTGTGTATTAATTTATATGATTCAATACAGCTAAAAATGAAGCCACACGTTTGATATTCGACGAAGCCGAGCAAACATTTGGATTACTTATGTAAGAATGTTTTTCTTTAATGTTAAAATATAGTTTTATCGCATTCCAGATACTGAGAAATTTATTATTACATGAATAAAAAATAACAACGTACCTTTTAAGAAGTCTTCAGCAGGATGATCGTTGAATTCGTTTATCATATCGGAACCTAATCGATTGAGACATTCGTTAAATTTTTTGTTATAACCAAACCAGTTATTTAAATTTTAGGGTGAATATGATATTATTAAAATAAAAATTAATGATTGTTGTACTGTGACGGATAACTGATTATAAAGGTGTATACCATAGTAATTGTTTTTTTGGTGTAATGTTACGTCAATCCTTCAGAGGCCTCAATAGTGAGTATTAAGTCCTTTATTGCTTAATGCTAAATGTAGTTTGTTACTGATTATTTTTGTGTGTAGCGCTGTCCACGGTTGGATTGATTACATGAAAAATAGGAAAAAGGTGGAATGGAATTTATTGCACAGAACATATGTGATAACATCAGTTTCTTTAATTGTGATGTCTTCGTGATTAATTAAATATTTTAATGTAAGTTTTATGTATATTTTACTTTGTTATATTCATAAAAGTACCAACTGATTGAACAACGAATAAAGCCTCTTCAGGGGAGAATTTTCCTATTAATTTGCTTCTTGTTTGAATGAGTATGTTCATTTTCTATTGGCTATTAATATACTTCAAACCCAGACTTATCGTAGCGACCACAAATGACTTTAAGGTGATTGATTTTTGGGCTGGTTAGTGAAATAGATATTGGTATAAAACATTTTGTGAGTTCAGTTGTTAGAAGCATTGGAAAACTATGAAACTGTTCATGCATTAAGGAATAATAGAAGTTTTATTGTGGGGATGAAAACGTTAGTAAAAATTAGTAAATTGAAGTATGATACTGTAAGTGTTTTTTATTTGGACTTTTTGATTGATTATTATCCTAGTGGAGGCTTTCCAACGTCAATACAGATAATAGGTCCAAAATGGTTTATCAAGTGGTAACAGCACATTGTTTGTAATGTTGTTATGAATATGAACATTAAACAACGGAATTTTGATGTTTTATACTCAAATATGTTAATACAGAATTATGTTTAATAAATAACTCAATAATAAAATCTTCTCTATCTGAGTCATCAAAGGCAATCTTTTTAATACTTTAAAGCTACGAACAACCATAAGAAATGGCTATTGAACAATTACTACCATTATTTCTACTGTTTAGTTGCTCAAAATCACATTTTGCCAAGGAAAACGTTTAATAATCAAGAACGTTTTCTGCTTGCTCTACAAGTCATATTTAAGCGTTAAATTACATTCTATCGTTAGTATATAACATTCTAACGAAATTTCGAATATAACAAATCTAAATATGAATAAAAGAACACAAAACAACTTTAAAAAGATGAACGTTAAACAAAATCAAACTCAAATTAATAATAAAAGATGAAACACGTAATATAATTACAATGTGTCCGGTTGAATAAATGGTAGTAAATACTTTTACTACAACTTTTCTAACGTTTACTAGAAGTTTGATAAATAAAAGTTAATAAATGCTTTTAATAACAGTAAAACGTAGTATAAGCTTGGTTTTATTCACATCAATTATAAAGACAAATAAATGTTTATAAATCTTTGAATAAAAATAAGTAAAAGCTTCCTTTTTTTAAGTAAATACGTCAAAACATTGAAATTAGCTCTACAGGTACATATAAAACACAAGTAAAAGGTTTCATATTCGTATATTATTATTTAAATTTAAATTTATTTTTATCTNTGTAGACCTATTAATTCCCACTGTCGTCCATCCGTTCGTCTATCGTTCCTTAATCTCAATAAAAAATTTAGGTAGATGAAAGTCGAGACCAGATATGAAAATCTTAGGAGCAGAAGGACCCGATTAACTATAAATAAACAAATAAACTTCCGATGCAAATCGGAAATCATGTTATTTCAATTTAAAATTTTCTCCTGAAAGGTGTTAGATAGATGATCGGCATAACTCTATTGTTAAAGAAAAAGTATGATATTCAGGGGCAATCCACTATTAATTTGAGGTGGAGAGCATATATTTTAAATTAAATAAATTAAAAATATGATTAAAAATTACAGCCCGGCACTGTGACCATGTCACAATAAATAATCGCTCATTGTACTTGTAAAGATCAGATATTTTCGAAACGTGAGATCATTTTCCTCAAACCGGTAATAGTCATGGTCCTTTCTGTAAGTCTTCTTGCTGTGCAGAATAACCGAAATGCAACAATAGCATTACTGTTATTTTGGTACTACGGTAATAAATCTTTACGAGAAAAGCACGATCATGTAAACATATCATTGCATTCAGCAATCATATCATCAACTTCAATACACAAATTTGATGTCAGTTGACTGGAATTTGTATAATTTCACGCTTGTGAGTGTAACCATGCATATTATCTCTAAGAGAGCGCCATTTTCCTCCTGGTGACAAAACTCTGAATTAAAAACTTTTATTACAGAAATCGATATCCCATAGTTTTAATAATATGTTCGCCAATTTTGATTGAGTTTAACGTAAATAATACTATAATATATTGTCAATTAAACGTCAATTTATTTATTTACTTAATGTAAGTTAAAAAAGTAAAGAAAAAGCTGCCTATATTTGAATATTTAATTAAAAGTAAAACCTACGATTACCAGAAATTATTAATTACAGAAGCCTTGATTCATAATTATCTTTCAACTGATGAGATTTTAATTAATAAATTGCCACAGAACGTTTGTGTTCTTAAGACAAATGTAGAGCCTTCACGAGCTCTATCTGCTAGTAATTATTCTGTATGGACTTGTGTAATAATGGTAAAGTTATTCTTCTCTTCTTAAATTTTTATCAAGTAGAAACGAATGAAGCTGGAACGGTTGAATACACGGACAATCTCGATACATCGTGTTTTCGGGCTTCAAATCACTTATTAAAAACTCCCTGGCTATTATGGCAGCCAACCACTGCACAATATCTGCTAGAACTGGTTTTATAAAGTGACATACCTTATAAAACTAGTTCAAGTAGATATTGTGCCCAATGAAAAACTAAAAATTGTAGGCCTACAGCTTACACTAACAATTAGCAGTAACTTAATGGGTGCTAAGAGTTACACCTTTGTGTGGCAGAAAATCTTAAAATGGAGGTTGATATAAATGGATAAATTATAAGTAATATTCAAATATCAGTCTGTATTCAATATTTTTAACTTTATTTTAATTTATCAGAGAAACTGGTTGCACAAGACAGGAAACTGTACACGTTAATTCTTTTTCAGATATTTTTTATGGTTCCAAACGTACAAAAAAAACGTGAAATAAAAACATCTTGATGAATATCTAGAACAATTTAAAAATTCTTTAAATTTTTAACAAAAATTAATTTATTTCTTATAAATATCTAATAACATTTACTATAAATTACAGTCAAATCTATCTTATTATTACTAAACTTTAATTCCTACATTTATAAGTTATATTACTTATGGTTTATATAATAAAAAAGTTTAAGTGAATAATAAATAAAATAATTACTCTTATTCATCTAAATAAAGTTATGAAAGATTGATTTATTTTTATATAATGAAGTTTATGTTTCAAAAGTCTGATTAGCAATGATAGTTTATAACTTATGGAATGATATACAGTCGACCTCCCCTAAAACTCTGTTGATAATTCCGTTTTATATGAATTCCAGGTTGTACGAGTCACTTAGATTTTACAAATACGTGTGCCGTACTGTGAACGGCTCAAGTATTTGTAAACTCTAAGTGACTCGTACAACATGGAATTCATATAAAACGGAATTATCAACAGTGTTATAGGGGGTCGACTGAAACACCATTCTTTGGTGTTAGTTGAAGGAAGCAGTCATAGGCATCCGCAGAGGAGGTCAAATGGGTCAAGTTACTCCTACGATTTAACAAAAAATTCCACACATTATAATCGTTAAAGCGATACAGATATGTAAACTTTACATTTTCGACCATAGGACATGCTTTGTCTTTTTATATTGATACATTACTGTATTTTATAATCTACGTCTGAAAAAAAAACCCAAAAAATTAAATAATTAAATAAATATTTATGTATTTATTTGTCTTCAAGCTTTGTTTCATGGAAAATTTTCTGCGAACGCCCATAGTAGCAGCTGATCAAAATTAAAAAAGTTAAAACATTTTATTTCATCTGATATTTCCGACAAATCTTAAGCATATAATTCGAATTGAACCATTCTCAATTTTATTTATGTTTCATCAATATTTTCAAATAATATGGAGTCTAGACCTAAAAGGTGTGTTTCAAACTCCTACTTATAAATCGAGATATTCTTAATTTATTTTTAATAGAAAAAATTGATTGTCAGTAAAATTTCCGACTATTTCTCATTCCGTTTTGATATTCATTTAGTATAAGGAATAGACTATTTTGTTTTGACTCAAATTTGTAGGTTAATGTTACTAATAACTTAGAAAATAACTCGAACTATTGTACAGGATTCAAAGAATAGCAACTTTTCTGAAGTTTTAAATTTACTTAAGAAATTGTTGGTAAACTTCGCAAATATATTAGAATGTTAGATGTTCAAGTAGATGTGTCAAAAACGTATAACAAAATTTTAAAGGCTGTTATAAATCATTTTAAATTATATTTTATAATCTTTAACTACGATGGAAGGATGGCCTAGCGATTTAGGTTGCAGCTCATCGCTCTGAGATCCGTACACAGTGTAGATCGAATCAGTCGAAAAGTCCAAAAATTTTTCGCAAGTAATTAGTCTAGATATGTCTGGCTCGTCCTTAACCACCCAATCCATTGTGGGCCTAGCCGAATTCATAATAGGCTGATAGAAAAACCCTCTTAGTGCCCACAAGACTGAAAGAGTTTTGAAAAAATCTTTAACTATAAAATCAATTTTTAAAAAAAAGCTACCAGTCCAAATCAGAAGCTCTTAAATAGTTCATCGGAGCCTCTGACCCCTAAACTTTCTGTATTTGGTCTCGATTTTCATCTATCTAATTCGTTCTCAACATTAATGAAGGACAAACGGACGACAATAAGAATATAAAGGTTGCAAGTCCAATTATATCAAATTAGGCTTGCAGACCTTTACATTCTTGCTTCCCCTAATAATTCATTCTAATTTTTTTGTGTGTATTGAATAACTTACACTTATACAAAAATATACTCATTCCACGTATATAGTGTATAGATTATTCTACTGTAAATTTCTTTATTTTGATGGTGAATGTTCAGTTTAAGTTGATTTTTTTTCGTTGACATGTTCAAAACTCTCCATTTGCATTAGAAATAATAGTGACATGTTTTACAACTCCTAAACAAAAAAGTAGAATATTAGCAAAACCAGCCAGGCAAACAGTCATAAAAAACTAAATTGTAATGCAAATTTGCATATAGCTGGGCAGAGCAGTATAACAGTACAGCATGGGGCGTAAGAGCGACGTCAGTGATAGAACTAAAGATACTATCATAGCTTTGCAAGAAGCAAGAAGAATACTAAAAGAAATTGTTGAAGAATTATGTGCTAACAGCCAACAATCTCTAGAGTACTGTACTGAAAAAACAAAACCGTTCAAGTTTTAACTAACAAATGCCAGAAATTTGGACATAAACGAGCAACGACTGCGAGGGATGAGAGAAACTTGAGGATTGTCGTGCGAAACAGCTTTAAAAGCGTTAAACACTTGCAAGCACAATAGAGAACAACTGGAGTAAACGTTAGTAACCGAACCATATGCTGAAGATCGTACGACTCGTACAGTACTTCAATTGCTGTGTTCCCAAGACGAAGCCATCTCTAACGAAAAAGCAACGACAAGCGAGTGTCAGATGGTGCAGAGAGAGGCTCATATGAAACAAGACAACTGGAATAACGTTATCTTCAGTGACGAATCCCTAGTTTGTCTCTCCTGTGGTGACCAAGGCCCACATGTATGAAGAACAACCAGAGACCTTCGAAAAGGACTGTATGAAGAGATCCGTTAAGTTTGCATCGTTAAGTTTGCATCGGGATCCATGAGTGCTAACGGCGTAAGACAACTGTGCATTCTTCGGGAACGTTCTAATAGACATATCAAGACATCTTAGAGACATTTATGATACCATCGGCAGAAGATTTAGTTGAGGAAACAATTCTATTTAAACAAGACAAGGCACCTCTCATACCGCGAAGTCAATTATACGCTGTTACAAGAATAACAGATTGTAATCCTGCCTTGGCCAAGCAATTCCACAGGCTTAAACCCTATTGAAAATTTGTAGGGAGTCATGAAACGACGACTTAATGAACGGTGCCCAACTTCTAAAGAGGAACTAGTGACGTGCATTCGACACATTTTAAACTGCATCACCAGAAACGAATGTGAAGCATTAATCTTCCCGACAGATTTGCGAGCATTAAGTATGGCAAACGGCGACTCCACAAAATATTAAGTTTATTTTGTTGTATTTCTTATATTTAACCCACATTTAGCTAATATTCTAATTTTTTTGTCATTTCATTTCCATTCGTAACAAAAAAAAAACGTTTTAGTTAATTTGTCTGATTAATGGGTATAATAAATATACATAGACATTGTTTACGTAGTGTCGAAAATAATTTCCTAGTCTGTGTTGTTCATGAGAAAATGTACACTAAACTTTCAGTTAGGTTGAATATTCTAATTTTTTGTCCGGGAGTTGTAACATAAATAAAATAAAAGAAAAAGATGAGAATTTCTAAAAATATCAGTAATTATCGTAAAAGAAAATTAACAAAAGTATCTTTATCAATCAAATTTTCATTATTTACAGTAAAAATAACTAAATACAAAATGAATAAATGATAATACTGTATATCCTACCATTTTTTCTCTGTCCATTCGCAAAGCTCATTAATAAAAGTTAAAGTTTCGGGATCATCTTTTAAACTTTTTCTGGCATCATTACATTGAATTTTTATACACTCCTGTAATTAATTAAAAACGTTACTTATTTACATAATATTTTATATCATTCTTTATTCTAAACTTTATTCAGTAATAAAAACTAAAAGTTATACTTTAATTTGAAAAAAAAATTGTAGACCTATTAATTCCCACTGTCGTCCATCCGTTCGTCTATCGTTCCTTAATCTCAATAAAAAATTTAGGTAGATGAAAGTCGAGACCAGATATGAAAATCTTAGGAGCAGAAGGACCCGATTAACTATAAATAAACAAATAAACTTCCGATGCAAATCGGAAATCATGTTATTTCAATTTAAAATTTTCTCCTGAAAGGTGTTAGATAGATGATCGGCATAACTCTATTGTTAAAGAAAAAGTATGATATTCAGGGGCAATCCACTATTAATTTGAGGTGGAGATCATATATTTTAAATTAAATAAATTAAAAATATGATTAAAAATTACAGCCCGGCACTGTGACGATGTCACAATAAATAAGTTAAATAAATTTTAGTCGTTTACTGGAATCATACTTTCGGTTATTAGATTTAAATGAATTTCAGATATTTTTGTGTCATTTTCGAGGCAGGCGATTATGATTTATACTATGTAATGTGAATTCAAAACAAGCGAAAATAAATGAATATTTAAATAATTATTTAACACATTTTCAACATAATCAAATTTTGAAGATTTTGTAGCATTCAGTTAATTTTGTTCATTTGATAACTGTAAAATCGTTCTCTATATCATTGTTTTTATTTTTCCTCCTATAGGTAATATACTTTTGCGTTCCGGTTATTAGAATTGCTGTATAATAGAATCAATATTTTAGTGTTCCTAAAAATTTTCCAGTAAAAATTTTAGTGTCTTGTTTCTATATTTTCAATTTATAGTCTAAAAAAAGTAAAGTTTAAAAAATTAATAGTTTTACATAACAAATATTTTGGGTAACAACTATTTTCATTACAGAAATTTAAAAATCGATTGTATTCTGTATCAGTTCAATTTTTAATTGATCAAAATGCTTGAGCTAATTTATTAATAGGATTATTTATTATTGCCAAAAACTAATTACAGTACTATTATAATTATACATAGACTATAGCGCTGTGTTTCTTGTATTAAACTTTCTTGAAATTGATATATTTTTTTCCAGTTATTTTTCAGATTTAATGCAATTTTAAAGATTTAGAAATCTTTTCAGAGAAGTGTTTAAGACTGAAAAAAAACCATTTTTAAACAAATCGATTATGCTACTCAATGGCATCGATAATAATAGCGAGATCGAGATAACCTTGCTATTGTTATCGATGTCCTATCAATGTAGAATGTCGAATGGCCCTTCAAATATTTTGCCGTGTGGACCTTGAACAATTTCTCAGTTACTTATATTTGGCCTACTTCCGGAAAATATTTGTCATTCTTGTCTTAGATTAATTTTGTACACAACAAGGGAATTTGGANAACTGCCTAACACAAGAGATATTAGAGAAGAGCAAAATTCTTCAAACTAAGAGTGCAATTTTTTGCTAAGATAGAAACAAAATCATCATTCGTGTTAGTTTTGTTTAAACTAAGAAAGTATTTGACACAAAGAAATCCCATTTATTTTATTTAACTTGCTTTCTATCGTCCTCAAAACTTGCAAATCAAATTTCACTCACTTCTATTGAAGATGGAAGAATGAAACTTTGAGGACATTCATTTTAATGATGTTATAGTGTGAGTTCCTCTCCATTATCCTACTCACCCGAAACTCGATAAACATAACCAAATGTAGAGTTTAGTACCGATGCACCTGTATATATGTAAATACACTGTAGTGGTGCAACTCTGTAAGAGATTACTCCATCATTTCCATCACAATTTCGCAAAATATGACCAATAAAATCTTTTTGTTTACTAATTTTTTAAAATATATTTTAACTATTATCACTTTAAAAGAAATTCTTTATCTAGTAAATGGTTTCATTCAATAATTATTTTCATAAAATATTTTAGAATCAAACTATAAATTACTTATAACAACAAACATGAGATTCTAATAATTTCACTGTTTTACTTTGATAAAATTTATTAAAATATTTATTTAATAAATAAAATAATAAAAAAATATGATTTATTTTTTTATAAAGTTGTAATTATAATATAAATAATTTACCATTTTGAGATGTTTGGCGCATTCTGGCTCACGATAAGGCTCATAAGACTCATTAGACTATAAAATTAAAAAAAAAAAACAAATTTATAATAAAATATTAAATTATATAGGGGAGATCGGGGCAAGATCGGCATGTTAAGCTTTACTTACATTTTGTGTAATAAATACTGCTGTAAACTGAAAAAAAAGCTTTGCATATTGTCTATTGGAATGTTACCTTACTATAGAACTGGTTAAAATCAGTTTGGAAATAAAAATAATTAAAATAATTACAACTTTACAAGAAGAGAGAAATTGACGAAGTTGCCCCGGGTATAGGGGCAANTGTCTTTCTATTCATAATAATTAAAAATAAATTAATTAAAAGCATTTTACTTAATTTTACTAAAAGATGTTAATAAATTAAGAATTTTATTTAATAATGTTATTAAATTTGTATAACTAATATTAAAAAATATTACTTGTTTCTTCATTTCTAACATTGATAACTGCAAGAGTTAAGAAGACCGTGATAATTGCAACAAGTTTTCCAGACATTTTGAAGTATTTGAATCAGGAAGAAAGGGTTTATATAGAAAAGAAATCGTGCACATATTATTTGAACAGATTTCCCAGTGTCTAAATAACTTCTGACGTCAATTTTAACGTTACAAAAATAAATAAGTGTAATTTTTTAAATCATTTTCAATTCCTTATGTTGGCGATTTGATTGGATTTTATTAAATTAAATTTGAAATATTTTGTAAAACTGTCGTAGAAAAGGAGCAAAATGACGATTTGAATATACCTAAAGATTGTCGAAAGAGAAACGAACAATACAAGTTTTATATTATATTTTGAAGAAGGCACAAAACTGGAAAGAATAACCTTATAGAATGAAAGAGAGAAGTTTGGAAAAGAGGAATAGAAAGATAAATATTGAAATATATATTGAAGAAAAGTTGGAAGCAAGGAGGACTGAAGCATTGACGCGAAAATATCTTTTTCTAAACATCCTAAAGTTTCTAAAAGAAGTTTCAGAAAAACTGTAAGAAAATAAAGATACTTTTAAAACACTTTTTATAGAAATTTACTAACAATGATTGAATACAGAGAGCAATGAATAAGTAAAAACTAAGCAAGACTGTTAAGTGATTAAAAAATAATAATATACATTAAATAACTGAAACGTGCTTGTAAATTCGGTTATATTAGTCTATTCAAATTGCCTTAAATTTATATTCAAATATTGTTTTCATTTGTCATTGTCACTTTATATTATGAAGAAAATTGTTGTAATATATATTCTACGAAAAGATTGCAATTTCAATTTATTAATTTATATATATATATATANGTTTAAACGCTTAAAAATAAATTATTATGTATAAAATTAATAATTTAAAAATAGTTCAGATATCTGCCTTAATATTAAATTAACTAAAAATGACTTAAAAGTTAACAAGTTATTAAAATCATGTAAAAAATATCAGAAAAAAAAAACATTACTCGTTTCTTCATTACGAACTCCTAAAATATTTGCAAGAAACAAAATGGATATAAAAACTATACAACTTTTTACGAACATTTTACGTATATTTGTATTAGGAATGGGAATTTATATAGGAAAAGAAGCGTGTATAAGTTATTTGATATTTGAACAGGTTTTCTTTGTTCAAAGATATCCGGTCTATAAATGTTTTCTGCCATTCTTCCTTCTTATAAACACGTTGAGTACCATTATTTTTATATGATAATGCTCGCTCTTGTCTTGTTTCTCACATAAATACTCTATGTTATTTGTTAAACTGATTAAGAATATTTGACAATTTACATTATAATATACTTATATTTCTTAATTAATAAAACAAAATAATATTCTATAACGTTTACCTTTTACTTTTAGATAAATGATGGAATTACGAGTTCGTGATCTTTTAAAATCAGCTCTACACCTGTAAACACCTTCATCGTTTAGATTGGCTTGCTTAATTTCCAGTGTTGCGGGTGAATTTTTTATATTGAAATTAATTCTGTTGGAAAAGCCTTCGATTGCTCTATGCTTAGCCTGATAAATATCTCCTTCTCTTGCATCCATGCTATAAATTGGAGTGTCGGAATTTTCTTTAAACCATAACACCACAGAAACAGTATTACCTTCTGTTGAAGGGGTTATATTGCATGGTAATGTTATTTTTTCTCCAACTCTACCGATTATTTTCATATTCTTATCTGAAATAAAATTAAAATTTCAAAATAAAAAAATGCATAAAACTGCAAAAAATAATATTAATTTCTCCATAAAGTCATTAAAAAATATTCAAAAATAGTAAATTGCTAATTTATATATTTTATTTGAATAATATACTCAATCAAATTTAATTAAAGATTTATTTATTGATAAATCAAGAAAATAACGAGCTGTATCACTGAAAATAATGGTACTCCACTGTTTTATAGAACAATAATTATGATTTAATTCATGGGTAAATGTCACGTTACCATATTAAATAAGTTTCAGATCAATAAGAAACACCCATATTGCGTATTATCAGTGCAAAGAAGTTTGTCTAAAGAAAAAAATTCTAACAAAATTATCATATTTTCACTTATAAATAACTGTAATAAATTAATGAATAATTATAACGAAAAATGATTTTTCACATACTAAATTATACGTTTATATACTAATTACTGTACTTTTAATAATTAAAAATAATATATTCAAAATAAACAAATTGTTTATAAAGTTAAGTATATAAGAATAAATTAAATAATTGAATAGAAACAATGCTAATAATAATATTACTATGCTATATTACTATAAATGCGAAATAATAGAAATTAACTCTCTCCTCTCTCCCGCGAGAGAATTTCCAAAAATCTCTTCTTAATGTGCATTCTCATGGCTTACCCTAATTGTGTACCAAATTTCAACTTTTAACTCCCAACCGTTTGGATTCTGCGTTTATTATTATTATTATTATGGGTTTTATGAGTTATACTCGGTTGACACACCGGTGGTTGTGTACTATGCCGGACCAGAGTCAAGGCATAATAATCAAAACGAGACAAAAATTAAATAAGTGTGTCAGTGTGTCTGTATGTATTTAGGAATTTCTAACAATATGACGTGTATTCAATATAGTGGCCTTCTGTAGTGTGATGTATGTATTTCTATTCAATTGGAATGTTCCCCGGCTTTTGTGTAGTGTTTGTGGTAGAGGAGAGAACCCTGTAGAGGAGAGAACGACAGGTACAATAAGCACCCTATCCATCCTCCACAGATAGCTTATTTCCTAGGCGAGTTCTGTATACTTACTAATTTTTTCAGTGAATGTGTTTTGTATATTGTGAGTGTTTAGAATGGCTATGTCTATAATGTATGTGATTTTATTGTGTTTATCAATGAGTATTATGTCTGGTCTGTTGTGGTAAATTGTTTTATCTGTGATTATGGCTCTGTCGTAGTACACTTGGTGCGTGTTGTTTTCTAATACTGTTTGTAGGATGCATTTGTAGTATGGTTCGTAGATGTCTAATAATTTGTGTTTCTTTGCAAGCTCTTGGTGTATTATATTTGCTACTTGATTATCATCATCATCAACCCATCTCGATTATATTATAAGATTATAACTTTATCTCTGAATTTTATTTTTACATGACATCTGAGATGAAGATGAACGGTGCACAATAAAAATTTGCATATTTTTATACCTATATCTACTATTCGAGAATTATAATTCAGCGTTTTAATATAGCCTATATATAGCCCTCGTAAGATTTCTGGCTAAAATTCCTTGATATTCTCTTATTTTTCAAGACTAATGAAAATAAAAATGACTGTATTTATAATCTGTAATGACTGTAAATATTAACAAATAAGTTTTTTATATGTTCTTATGATATAGTAATTTATGAATTATGTTATTGGTCATTGTTAAGTAATAAAGAAATAGATGCAAGAACTATTATATTTGAGATTAAAAAAAAATTATTTTTCTACATTTTATTTAAAAATCTATGAAAATATTTGATGACGATTTACAATAATGTATCGTGATGGCCTTGGTCATGTTGCCATAGTTTCCTTTTAACTATAAATAAAACACCACTACACCATTACCATCACTACTGCAAAAAACTGGAAATTTTTATATAAACTTTTGTTTAAACGCTTAAAAATAAATTATTATGTATAAAATTAATAATTTAAAAATAGTTCAGATATCTGCCTTAATATTAAATTAACTAAAAATGACTTAAAAGTTAACAAGTTATTAAAATCATGTAAAAAATATCAGAAAAAAAAAAACATTACTCGTTTCTTCATTACGAACTCCTAAAATATTTGCAAGAAACAAAATGGATATAAAAACTATACAACTTTTTACGAACATTTTACGTATATTTGTATTAGGAATGGGAATTTATATAGGAAAAGAAGCGTGTATAAGTTATTTGATATTTGAACAGGTTTTCTTTGTTCAAAGATATCCGGTCTATAAATGTTTTCTGCCATTCTTCCTTCTTATAAATTTAAGCTAATAAAATTTTAAAAAATATTATACATATATAAATATTAATTTTCATATAAAATTAATTCATCTTGATTCTGTTTAAAGCATATACAAAATTGATTTAAAATGCATTTATTACTGATAAAGCTTGAAATTTTACATTTTTATAAAAAGAAAAAACAAACTTTTAAATTAGTATTAAAATTAAAATTTATATTATTTTATCAATGTATAAATTTTTCACATAAGAAATAACTTTTGTTTTATTTAAACTAAGTTTTGTTTGAACAATTGTCTTTGGTTATTTCTTTTATTTACATTAACATACGTTATTTTTCCTGTTTATTAACAGTTTTAATCGCAATATAATTTTTATAATATAATAATATTCTGCGTGTGTATGTGTGTGTGTGTTCCCTTTAATAACTCAGGATGGAGTAAACATTAATAAACCAATTCGGTAATTTGTATATAAGGATCATTGATACTATTAAATTACAAATTTTATAATATATTTTCTATACAGTACTTAATTTTAATTTGCTACAAAAAAAATGCTTATGGCAAACAAAATAAAATCTGACATCATCTAGTAAAAGATTTGTCATCATCGTGTTTGCATGAAATCATCCCTGCTATCATCAGCATAAATGAAAGAAGCACGCCAAAACGAGTAAGGAAAAATCTGTCTTGTCATATGTACGAGTAACCCTGTGTTATCTATAATTTGTCGCAAGTGTCATAAGTTTTTGCTTACTATTAGGACATTTCTTCCTGTCAAATTATTCTAATTTCATTCATTATAAGACCATATACCTTTTTACGATATACATATTTATAAACAGATTCATTATCGAGTTATAATGAAGAAAATACAGTATATTGTCAATTGTTGCAGAATTTCTCGAGGAAAATTATCGATTTATTTTAACCTTTGTTTCCTTATCGTTTATTTATTATTCAAAAGATGGCAGCACGTCGACATTTTTTGATCATATTTTCACATAATTTCATATAAATATGTTCATCCGTCAGTCTTATTATTAAAAAATTGTTCCCATATTAGTTATAATAATTTATTTATTATAATTACACATTATTAATTTAAAAATATATATAGTGATAAAATAAATTTATTTATCATTATATATATTCTACAAGTAGAGGCTGTAATGACGCTATGTTTAAATAAAATTGAATACACGTCCGCCATTTTCTTTTTAGTCAAGGGAGTGTCATCTGTTTGTTGTGTAAAGGCAACAAGATAAAATGTTCTAATTCGTTGTGTAAAGGTTTGAAAAGAAAAGGAATAGTTTTAATTCTTAACTGATATGGTGCGGATAAAATTGACAAATTATAACTGAATTTCAGTTATAATTTATAGTTTACGACACCGATTATCAGTAGAAAAAGCTACCTTTTAACAACATATACCGATGCCAGTAGAAAAAGCTACCTTTTAACAACATAATAAACCCCCCCGTAAAAGTCAAAAACTAAACATTAAATTTGAAGAATATATTCATAATACATGCAAATCCACAGGCATTCAATGATGGGCACTATTCATTTTTAATCGTGTTTTATCTATATTCTTGTAATTCTTTTACGTTAAATCTTGCGTGTCGAAAGTATTAAAAATTATTTATTTATTTGTATTTGAAGATTGCTACATCTCTACATTCTGTGTTTTCTGGATTAGTAAAATTGAAGAAAACGTCAAATTTTTATACAAGCTGTCATCACATTTTAAGAAACGTCTTTTGTCTGAACGAAAACTTAAAACATTAAAGATTATTTTCAACTTAAAATGATGACAATGGAATATATATGAGAAAATATTGTTATTCTCTTATTCTTTGCTTCTTCCACTGACAAGCAGAATCTGAAACCACAATAAATGGTTTCTTCAGGAGAGTGAACTGTACATTTTTCATATATCACATTGCATGAACTAATTGCAAGTATTCAATAAAGCTGTTTAAAATCATTTTTTACTAGAGATTTTTTGTCGTTTTTTTTTAAAATTGGGACCGGACTGATTATCTTAGTTGCCATTGATTCAATGTTAATAATGTTAATCTTTATATACATTCACAAACTATACTTACTACTTTCATTTGCCACAATGGCTGACTGCATCCACGTGTATGTGTTGTGGTCAATATGGTCAGCTTTTTCGGCACGGAGCTGTAAACAAGCGTTTTAATCGACAACGACGGTAGTTATCAAAATTTACCCCACAGTAAATTTACCCCATTTTCACGTACTTTACGATGGTATTATTTTTTGCCCCCCGCGTAACTACTATTGGACATTATACCAATGAATATAGGATTATTTAGTTAAAACACGTATTTATTAATTATTTAAATATTTTAATTTTTGAGTTAGCTCTGCTTTGCATACGTGTGGATTCACTACTGGGCCTGATAATTTGAAAACGAGCTACGCTCCGAAAAGTTCCTTGAATTACCAGTTTGAACTGAAAGAATAAATTATTCTTTCACTCACAATTATTACTTCATTTACATAATAATAATACTACTACAGTAACATTACTATTGAGGCATGTTTGTCAATTTTATCTGAATGTTTTAGTTTGTATTAAATCATTATTACTTAACAAAATTTTATGAAATGAAAATTTAAACATAGTAGAAACTGTGTTATTTATAGTGTAAATAACAAATATAGAGATGTTAAGTTTTATTAATTTTAATACACGAATTTTGATAGACATCCCTTCATAAAAATATATTTTGGAATGAATTTTATTAGTTTCTTGCAGTAAATCGAACTTTTTAAAAATATACAAACAATAAATTTGCACAAACTCGTTCCGCCCTAAAGGCACAAAGAAGACTTTTTTCGAGGCCTCACGTGGATTCCGTGGATTTCTCATTATATTGCAGTGTTAATAAAATTACTGTATTTAAAGATTGATCCTACAATCAAATACTAAAAACACCACAAAACCGGGGACGTACAATACCTAAGGTAGGATCTTTTGACTTAGTCTAGATTCACATTTAATTTCAACTAAGAATAACATCATTTATTTGCTTCTGAAAGTATTTATATATATATATTTCGATGTATTTATATGAAAATGGCAATAACAGTTTGTTTTAAGAGTGATAAATAACCAGCCAAACGCGACAAGGCTGGTTTCCTGGCTATTTATTTGCTGTTGTATTAATTTATTTAGTAAAAAAACTTTAATATTAAAGTACTTTATATATATCATTAAATATCTTTTATTAGTTATTTAATTAAGTAATAATGGACAGCGTTTATGTTCGGAGCTTTTGGGCGTATTATAAATAATTATTCACTTTTTTACAGGTAAGCTCACTGGTTTCTTTCGTCATGTCTAAAAGGAAGACTTATTCAGTAGTAAGTCAGTCGGATAGTAGATCTAAGATTTTTCATCCTGACCCATTGGAGGAGACGAGTATTTTGGAGCTACTTCGGGGAGAACTTTATATTAAGGATGGGATATCGTTACTTATTCAGCTAAATTTAAAGCAGAATGCGAAATTGGAAGGAATGATTGCTAAAATTGATAGAATTTACTCCTGGGTAGAAAAGTTGGACGAAGCTATTGTTAATGTAGAAATTAGATAAGAAGATTTAGAGGAAAAATTTGCATACGATACCGGCAAGGTTCTATCTGATGATAGAATAGACTTGGAAAACAAAATGGCCGAGTTTACATTAAGTCAGGAGCGGTTTGAGTGTTTCTTAAAGCGTAATAATTTAATAATTTCTGGTTTACCTGAGTCGGAAAATGATAACTTTCTGGTTAAAGTTGTAGTATTGGAATATTTTCAAAATAAATTAAGTGTTGATAATGTTAGTTTAGAGCGGTGCTATAGATTGGGCCAACAACGGAAAGATAGAACTAGGTTGATTTACTGTAGTTTTTTGGACTATGGTGATACATGTAAGATTAGAAGAGCGGCATTTAAATTAAAAGGGATTAGGATATTTATAATGGATGACCTTCCCCTTTCAACTAGAGACATAAGGAAAATAATTAATGATTTTGCTAGAGAAGAAAAAGGTTGGATGCGTCAATTACTTATTTAAATAATAGAAATGCGGTTAAAGTTGATAGTAAAATTTATAAATATAATATAGTTTCTAAGAAAATGGAAGAACAAATGTCAACTTGACTGGGAGTAGGTACAGTACGTCCGTTCTGTCATGGAATTGTGAAGTTATTGTAAATAAGCCTATCTCTTTTTGGAATTTTTTGTATACTTTTGATATAGGATTTATGATTGTAATAAGGATTTCGATCAGGATTGGATGATGAGCTTATCACAAGATACATTAATAAATAATCATGGAAGATTGGTGTTGGATTTTTGTGAAGATGCGGGATATATTGTTTTAAATGGTAGAGGCTCATCTATATCTAAAGTTTATTATATATATGTGGGTGATATAGGCTCCTCTGTAATTGATTTGGCTTTGATTAAGTTAAATCGATTATCTATTGTAACAAGGTTTCCTGTATTAGATAAAATATATAGTAATCATTTTCCAATAAGTGTAGTGTTAGATTGTAAATCTAAAAAGGAAATTCGAAAATCATTTAAGAGGTCTGTGAATAAGAGTGTGAGAATTTTTTGGAGGGAAGAGGGTAGTGAGAAGGTAAATTATAAGTATAGGAAACTATTATGTGCGATTCAGAGTCAGTCAGTATTAACGTTTGAAGGTTTGACTCATTTAATTAAATCTTCATTTTCAGATTGGTATCAAAGGCCGGTGGAATTTTCCAATTTTGTATGGTTTGATACAGATTGTAAGTTGAGTATTGCAAGAAGAAATCAGGCGTTGAACAGGATGAGACGAGCAAAGATTTGAAATAGTATTGCTGCGAAGAATTTTGTTAAAAATTTTAATGTGACTCGCAATTTATGTATAGCTAAGAAAAAGGTTTTTCTTGCAGAAGATCAATAAGAATTTGGCATCTGGTGATAGTAAACAGTTCTGGCGATTCATTAATTTCTTTGTTAAGAGTAAATACAGGGAGCTTCCAGATCTTGATTGGGTAGCTTTATTTCAAAGAAATTTAATTCTAATAAATATTTACCGGATGTGTCTGTATATAACGTGTGTGAATTGGCATGATGATATGTTGGATACGGAGATAACAGAACAGGAAGTCAAAAAGATTTTAGCTACTATGAAAAATGGTACTACTCCAGATATTGATGAGATACAGGTGGAATTATATAAGAATTTCCCAGATCTGATTAGATATATGGTAGGTTTGTTTAATAATGTGTACCAATCAGGAATGATTCCTTTAGACTGGCGGATATGTAAGATTATTCCTATATTTAAAAAGGGACTTAGAGATTTACCTGATAATTATGGAGCAATTTCGTTACTACCGAAATTGCTCCATAATTATCAAGATACCAAACTCATACATAAAATTTTGTAAAATTTTATGTATGAGTTTGGTATCTTGGTTGAATAAGTTTGAAATATTTTCAGATTTCCAGGCTGGTTTCCGGTCTGGTTTTTCGACATTGGACAATATTTTTGTTTTATATGCCTTAATACAGAAGTCTTTAAAGAAAAAACGAGGTAAACTTTACGCCTTTTTCGTTGATTTGTCCTCGGCATTTGATTCGTTGGATAGAGATCTTTTGTGGAGTCAACTTCTGACGATTGGGTTGAGCTATAAATTTGTAAATTTTTTTATTCCCTTGTATACTAATACAGAGGCGTGCGTGTCTACTAAGGAGGGTACGACTGATCTATTTTTCACGTTAAAAGGTGCGAAACAGGGTTGTGTATTGAACCCAATACTGTTCAACTTATATCTATATCCACTTGTTATTAAACTGAATGACTCTAATTTGGTAGGTATTGATCTTTTGGGAACGGATGTGAAAATCTTGACTTATGCAGATGATTTGGTTGTTATGGCAGATTCGCCTATAGGTCTAAATAGAATTATTGACTTTCTTGACTTATGCAGATGATTTGGTTGTTATGGCAGATTCGCCTATAGGTCTACAGAGAATGATTGACCTTTTAGGATACACAGTACAGGAGCTAAAACTTAACATTGACAAATCTAAAATAATGGTATTTCGAAATGGAGGAAAACATTCTAATAATGAGAATTGATTTTACAAAATCGCAAAATAATAGTAGTTAATGAGTATAAGTGTCTGGGTGTAGTTTTCCAGTCTAATGGGCGTTTTTTAAAACATTTAAAGTATATTCACAGTAAAGAGACTTTCGGAATTGATAGGATTATTAAGGCTTGTGTGTCTGGTAGATTGGTACGTTGGAAAGATAAATTAAAATTATTTGAGTCATTTATTCAATCAGTAGTCTTCTATGAATTCGAAATTTGATTGGAGAGAGAGAGAGAAGATAATATACAAATTAATTTTATTAAGCGTTTATACTCTCTAAAGAGATGGATTCCATCATATATATTTGGAGTTTCAAAGAGTCTCCCTTTATTTTAATATAATAAAAAATTATTTAAGATGGTTATGTAAACAGTCTGTTAGTAAACTTAGAGTCCGCTAAATTATTTTTAATCTCTCAAAGAATAGCGTGGGGAGATCAAATTGTGTCTTTGTTGCAGGAGTTCGACTATCGAAATTATCCGATAATGTTAAATCAAATTGAGATCTCTGATATTTTAATTATTCGCCAAACTCTGAATTAATTCTAATTCTGAGTTTGGCGAATAATTATATAACCGAGTTTAAATATAGAGCGGTTAATTATAAATATAATAAATGGTATTTAGATGTTTTTAATGAATGGGAGTCGATGACCTATTTGAATATAGAAAGACCTTTTTGTATTACACAAGCAGTATTATATGTGCGATATAATATTATCAAAATAATGATAAGTCCATGTATGAAGTACTGTGACTTTGGTAATACTACTGTTAATTTTGACGCTTTTCATATAATAACTGAGTATAAGGCGCTGACAGTAGTTAGACAAAAGTGTTTTGGTGAAGATTGTTTTTCGATCCAAACATATAAATGGTTGTTACAGGACGATAATAAATATTATTGTATTTACAGTTTTGTAACTAAAAAGTTAAGTTAAATGGATAATTATTTATTTGTTAAGATTAAGATACTTTTCTTTTCTAGCAGCTTACCATCAGGAGGTGTAAATTTACTATTTAAGTGGACGACTTAATGTTGATAGTTGGTAGCGTTTATGGTCGGCGCTTTTGGGCGTATTATAAATAATTATTCACTTTTTTTCAGGTACTTGCTTAATTTTTTCTTTTTCTTTTTATTTATTTTATTTTGTATACGCCGACCATTCGCTGCCATTTTTCTTTTTCATGTTTTTTTTTTTTCTCATGAATATAAATATTTTTATTGTTTTGTATATGCCGACCATTCGCTGCCATTTTTCTTTTTCATGTTTTTTTTTTTTCATAGGAATATAAATATTTTTATTGTTATTTTGGATTATATTGAAAGTACCCTTGTGTTATCTTTTTATTTTTTCCTTTTCAGACCAATTGTCACGCACTGTATTGTTGTGTTGTATTATTATTATTTTTGTATTGATATACATAACAGTTTATAATTTTGGTACAAATAGCCCGTACATACAGGGTTTTCCTTGTACTAAATAAATAAATAAAATAAATTAATTAATTAACTAATAATTTACATATAAATGATTTAAAAATTAAACACATTATGAATCTATGAATTTAAATTTGTAAATTCGGGCTAAACATTTTAGGAAAAATAATAAATCGTAGAGAAATTTTATAGTATTTACAGTAATTAAGATTGCTTAATACGTTTTCCTGAAACAATTCTAATTAAAACAAGAAAATTCATTTAATTGCCTTTATTAGGCGTTTACATTATAAATAAATAATTTATAATCAGTTTAGTTTATTTAAATAAATATCTAAAATATACAAATACTGTAAAATGTGGTACGCGAATTTAAATGATTGTGAAATATGGTACGTGAATTGTTTACATGACACGTGGATGCTTACAGAACACGTGGATGTTCCCTATAAACATACCAGAAAGATTATGATAATTTATACGTTCACAAGCAAGGTAAGTTTATTATTTACCAAATAGTCTGACAAAAATTCGGATTTATTTTAATTATTATAATATTTAATAATTAAAACAAAACTTTCAAAACGAATTACTTACAATGATCGAATGAATTTTTTAAAACTTTAATTTAATTTCTTAATTTCTTGTAATATTTTATAATTTTATTTCAGGCTTTTAGTTAAAATGGCTGACAATCTATACAACTTGATTTCTCTTATCTTCATTATTATATTAACAAAGGAAGTAGCTTGCAAGGTAGTAAATAATAATCGAGGTAATAAAAATTGCTATGTGGATTTATCTCATGCATTGTATCCAGGAATGCTTGTTTTTCCTAACTCGAGTGCATTCAGTATAGTGGTTGTGGCAAAAATTGGAGTCAACGATTCTGTGTAATCTCACTTTTATATTAAACTCTAATAATACAAGTTATATATTAAATTAATTAATGATAATATTTTTCAGGATATATTTATTTATAAGTTAATTAGTTATTTTATTTTGTTTTTTTTTTAAGATTTAGAGCAGAAAATATTAGCACACCTACTCACATAGGAACTCACGTAGATGCTCCTTCTCATCTTTTTAAAACGGAAAAGAACATTGACGACATACCAATTGAAAATTTCATAGGATCCGTTTGTGTTATTAATATTGCCGATAAGTCTTACGTCGATCCATATGCAAAATTAACAAAGTATGATTTAGTGTTATGGAAACAATCAAATGGTGATTTTAGTTGCGATTTTCTCTTAGTTCGGACTGACTGGGATAGATTTTGGGGTGATCGACTTCAATATATAGGGCCAAATAATAATACCTTACGATTTCCAAGTATTTCTACCAAAGCTGCTAAGTGGATCGTGGATAATACTAATATTCGTGGTGTTGGAATCGATACAATATCTGTAGATATATCAGTCAACTTACCTGTTCATAAAATATTACTTTCTAAACACTCGCTGGTAATTGAAAATTTAGCTAATTTAAAGCAATTGCCGTCAACAGGTGCCAGGTTATATGCTGTACCTATTAATATTAAAGGTGCAAGTGGAGCTCCTGCTAGAGTTTTTGCAAAAATATAAATTTCACGTATAGACTCGATAAAAGCCGAACTTTCTTAACTCGAAATTCTCGCTAAGTTAAATTTTACTGATGTTTAACTTCAATACGCTCAATACATTTTTTGTTTGTTTATCTTCTTCAAAATTAGTCATTAAGCACAAAAAAACTTTCGATTTATAGAGGCATTAAATTTAATGTTAAATGTAAGCAGTTCAATAAAATGTAAAAAACATAATAAAAATATATAGAATAAAATATCAAAAGATGTAAATTTTATAATTTTAAAATAACGATTGAATCAGGAAAATAAACATCTGTTATTTCTGTATGTTAATGTGTTTGTGTATTGGGGAGGACGACTTTCTTCACCCAATTTCAAGCTTAATAACTCTTGTGCCTTTTGTCGAAATTTTCTGAAACTTTTCAAGAGGGTTTGTGTATTAGGGAAAATAATGCTAGTAAATTTTGATGGTTAAAGGTCGAGAGGGTAGGGAGATAGAGGGTCCTTAAATGTCCGGAGTACGGTTAGACTTAATGAAGATTTTACTTGTTATTAGCATTTACAATTTATTATATATATAAAACAGATCTCTAACTTCAAAATTAAGCTTTTTGCCGTTTAATAATTATTAATCATATAAAAGATTTTTAATAAAATATTATAAGAAATGGCACCACACGCAATTTTAACTTTTTGCCGGAATAGGTACGCAACTCGTTGCTGTAATATTTCTTCAAAGAAATGGTCTTAAAATTGAAAACACTTTACATAAAATTTGTATTCTTAATATTATTTACAACGATATTTCTATACAATAGAGAACTTTCCAAACTTTTTATCTTTGTTAATACACTAAAAGGAATCTGAGGATCATGATTCACTGGTTGAGAAAGAATCCTTAATGTGATCTATCAATAATTATTATAAAAGTTTAATGTGCTTAAATTTCTTTATCAAATAATTTTTTTAAATTTAAAAATGCACTAAAATGTACTAAAAACTTTATATTGTAAAATAATAATAATAATAAAATTCGTTAGATTGGTCACTCGATGTGATAAACCCTTACGTAAGATAACCGTTGTAGTTATATAAATTAAATACTATAACTAACATNGGTCATTGTTAAGTAATAAAGAAATAGATGCAAGAACTATTATATTTGAGATTAAAAAAAAATTATTTTTCTACATTTTATTTAAAAATCTATGAAAATATTTGATGACGATTTACAATAATGTATCGTGATGGCCTTGGTCATGTTGCCATAGTTTCCTTTTAACTATAAATAAAACACCACTACACCATTACCATCACTACTGCAAAAAACTGGAAATTTTTATATAAACTTTTGTTTAAACGCTTAAAAATAAATTATTATGTATAAAATTAATAATTTAAAAATAGTTCAGATATCTGCCTTAATATTAAATTAACTAAAAATGACTTAAAAGTTAACAAGTTATTAAAATCATGTAAAAAATATCAGAAAAAAAAAAACATTACTCGTTTCTTCATTACGAACTCCTAAAATATTTGCAAGAAACAAAATGGATATAAAAACTATACAACTTTTTACGAACATTTTACGTATATTTGTATTAGGAATGGGAATTTATATAGGAAAAGAAGCGTGTATAAGTTATTTGATATTTGAACAGGTTTTCTTTGTTCAAAGATATCCGGTCTATAAATGTTTTCTGCCATTCTTCCTTCTTATAAATTTAAGCTAATAAAATTTTAAAAAATATTATACATATATAAATATTAATTTTCATATAAAATTAATTCATCTTGATTCTGTTTAAAGCATATACAAAATTGATTTAAAATGCATTTATTACTGATAAAGCTTGAAATTTTACATTTTTATAAAAAGAAAAAACAAACTTTTAAATTAGTATTAAAATTAAAATTTATATTATTTTATCAATGTATAAATTTTTCACATAAGAAATAACTTTTGTTTTATTTAAACTAAGTTTTGTTTGAACAATTGTCTTTGGTTATTTCTTTTATTTACATTAACATACGTTATTTTTCCTGTTTATTAACAGTTTTAATCGCAATATAATTTTTATAATATAATAATATTCTGCGTGTGTATGTGTGTGTGTGTTCCCTTTAATAACTCAGGATGGAGTAAACATTAATAAACCAATTCGGTAATTTGTATATAAGGATCATTGATACTATTAAATTACAAATTTTATAATATATTTTCTATACAGTACTTAATTTTAATTTGCTACAAAAAAAATGCTTATGGCAAACAAAATAAAATCTGACATCATCTAGTAAAAGATTTGTCATCATCGTGTTTGCATGAAATCATCCCTGCTATCATCAGCATAAATGAAAGAAGCACGCCAAAACGAGTAAGGAAAAATCTGTCTTGTCATATGTACGAGTAACCCTGTGTTATCTATAATTTGTCGCAAGTGTCATAAGTTTTTGCTTACTATTAGGACATTTCTTCCTGTCAAATTATTCTAATTTCATTCATTATAAGACCATATACCTTTTTACGATATACATATTTATAAACAGATTCATTATCGAGTTATAATGAAGAAAATACAGTATATTGTCAATTGTTGCAGAATTTCTCGAGGAAAATTATCGATTTATTTTAACCTTTGTTTCCTTATCGTTTATTTATTATTCAAAAGATGGCAGCACGTCGACATTTTTTGATCATATTTTCACATAATTTCATATAAATATGTTCATCCGTCAGTCTTATTATTAAAAAATTGTTCCCATATTAGTTATAATAATTTATTTATTTATCTTAGATACAAAACAGAAAACATATACACTACAACTCATATTGGGACTCACGTAGATGCCCCGTCACATTTATATCCATCAGGATGGAATATAAGTAACATTCCTTTACAGAGATTTATTGCACCAGCAGTTGTTGTGGATATCAGACATAAAACTTATAGTAATCCACGTGCGAAGCTTACACCCCAAGATTTGATAGAATGGGAAAAAGAAAATGGAGAAATTCTTCCTGGTTCCATTCTGCTGATACTTACAGGTTGGGATCGTTACTGGAACGACAAAGCTAAGTATATAAGTGCTAATATGGATTATAGTGAATTTTTCTTTCCGAGTGTCTCTGAAGAAGCTGCACGATGGATAATCCGTAACAGAGATGTATATGGAATTGGAATAGATACAATATCTTTTGATACGAAACCGAATTTAATGGTCCATCGTATATTTCTTGGTCATTCATTATATTTAATCGAGAATTTAACGAATTTGCATCATATACCTAAAACTGGTTGTACGTTATACGTAATGCCCATTAAAATTAAAGGGGCAAGCGGTGCTCCTGCTAGAATTTTAGCGGCATTCATTAAATAAATTTAATGAAATTATTGTTTTCTAGAAAATAAATAAATATGAATATGCTAAATAAAGTAAATTTGGTTTAAAATAATGCTTATTCTACAATACATCCACATTACACAATCAAAATTTAAAGCAACATAGGCCTATTTAAAAATTAAAGCAAACTTATGTTATTTATTACTGTATTAAAATTATTTAATCACATATAAAAGTAAACCTGATAAATGTTACTAATCAAATGATACAGCAGGATTCTTATCGGGCTAATTAATTACTAAGATATTAAGCAAACTGCACTAGACGTAGGCGGTCTAGTCATCATCAGGTATTAAATTTAATAATTAGAAATAAATTTAAATTAATTTAAAATATTATTAAAATATTCTGCGTGGGAGGTCCGGATAGCGTAGATGGTAACAGCATAAACGAGAGGGTTATGGGTTCGATTTCCGTTCCGGGACGATCCTAAATTAAATTAATCTATTATCAATTATTAAACATAACACGAGATAGTGACTAAAGATGCCTGGCTATTTTTAAATTACAATAATAGATTGTTATTGTCACTTTAAAAATAATGAGCATAAATAACAACTGAAAATAGCCCTGTGTAATGGCTTCAAAGTGCAGTGATCGGCAAATTAGTTATTTGTAAATAAGTTATTGTTATCTAAAAATAACTGGAGAAAATAACAACTGCTACTAGTAATGCGCGATAAATTCAAAACCTTCGATGAATTCCTGAATTTTTCCGAGACTTATCGGTGGTTATATCTGGTCGTACGGAGGATTTCATAAATTATATAACTATAAGCCGACGTTTCCAATTCCAACCGTAAGTTGCCTTAGCGGCCATAACATTCTATTTGATTGGCTATTGAGTTTCACGTAACTCGATCGATGACGATGTTGCTTACTTAATTCTTTTATTCACACTCTTCTTAATCTGACAAAATCAAGTGAAAAGTCCACGATTGTATACATATTTTGAAAGCACAACTCATTTTCAGTAAAATGATTTAATATTTATTTGCTATATCATAAAAATTTTAACAAATCTTTATCTGGAACAAAGTGTCTTTGAAAGTGTGTCGAAGAAATAAAAATATAATCTTTAGTTTTTATTTTTTCCTGATGAGTATCTACATTTTTACTAAAAAGAGTAATTCTTTAATTATTCTCGTGAGAGTAATATTAGGACGATTTATACGTGAGATACAACTGACACATACTTTTTAAATGAAAGAAAACTACCCTTGTCAAGTAGACCTAACGAAAGTGTCCGAGGGACAAAGCGATTCGGTCTTCCTCTTGGAAGGATCGGTTTTTCCAGAGGAGGGTTAGTTCAGCAGGAAGCATATTAGCAGCTTTGGCAGGAATCCCAAACAGGGCCGGACCTAAAGGTACGTCACTAGCCCAGTTCTGGATTGGACAATCGTTAAGCCTGAAGAATCCCTTAAAAGGAGGGACAACGATCGAAAATGGACTTATTTCGTCCGAACTGTCAGTAGGGTACCAAGACGAAAGACAGTACAAGAACTTCATCTGAACTTTTGAAAAGAGAGCTTCGACCGGACTGATAGAAGGAGCAAAAGAAAGGAAAATACAGTGGAAAGCCTTGTCTGGACTTTAAAGAAAGAGAGAAAAGGCAGAACTTCGTGTTGGGACAATGCGGACTCATTCTTGGTGCGGTCCGAATATACGTGGAAAATAAAAACGACTAACCAATAAGTTCGGGTCGTAAAGTACTTTTCTGGAAAAATAGGACTACTCATTTGTAAGCGGGAGGAGGACTTCTGATTGGGACTTCTCCAAACTGAATATTTTGTTGGATTAAAACAGCGTTAGAGCTTGTGGAGAAACAAATAGAAACAACAGAATTCTAAAACCAAATTATATTTAAAACAAAAAAGGACGATACAAATGCGTAGTGGTCATTTTGCCGAGATTTTCCAGAGGTCTTCCTCGAAGGGTGCCCCAAGAAAAACATACATTGCTTGCTCGCATCAGTTAAATTTTTGTAATCGCCCAGTTTTTTTATGTAATTTTAATTCTTTAATTGTAAATGCTAATAAGGAGTAAAATTGTCATTATGTTCGAACCTACTGGAGATACACACGATCCCTTCTATTTTCCCACTCCGTGGACCTTTAATCACCAAAATTTAATAGCATCAATGTCCCTAATAAACAAACCTCCCTGCAAAATTTCAGAAATTTTCGAAAAAAGCACA